CGCTTTAAAATAAATGTAAACCTGAACGTTTTGCTTTAATATTCGTTTCGAAATTTATATTTGAAGCGAGGACTCCGTTTTTTATGATACACCCTGTACAGGTCCCTGGCAGGTATCGAACCTGCGGCCCTGCGATTATGGTGCAGCGCTCTAACCAACTGAGCCAAGGGCGTCAATCTACCCCAAAAGTGGGGGGGGGGCGGACTCCAAACTAGGAAGGTCCGGAGGTATGCTACCCGAAATTGTTTTTAAATTTTGGTGCACTGAAACGGCATTCCCAGCGTTTTGGAGGCACTTATAAAGTTATATTACAATGTGCATGATCTTAATCCATGTTTAACCATGTGAGAAATCCGCTAAAAACCAACATATCCTAGCTTGTAAACAGACGTTACTAGCTACTCCCAACGAAGCGCACGCTTCGTCGAGAGTAACGTCTGTTTACAGGCTAACATGTCCTCGCCCTTATTTTAATGCTAATAATCTACTAAATTAACCATTTGCCTTATTTTGATGATAATCATCTATTTAAGGGAAACTCGGTTAAAACGTAATTACTTTTAATTATTTTACATAATATATGCGATGTCAGTATTGCTCCCAGCGGCTACAGAAAGATCGTACGTACAATGTCTTCCTTTCAATCACAATTTTTGATGAATAGCATACCATGCATTAGGTTTTTAGATAACCAAGAAAGAAAATTTCATTAAACATGTCAAAAAGTGTGGGGGATGATTAGATATTCGTCCACCCATCCAAAAACTGGTGGGACGCGTCCCCCCATCCCCCCAGGATTGACGCCCATGAACTGAGCTACAGAAGCCATTTGTCGAGCTTTGAGTATGTAAGTCTGTAACATAGAGTACTGACATGTTTTAGGTTATAGGTAAATATCGAGATTTCGTTGGCATCTCCCTCAGATTCAGTAATTGCCGAGTGGAAATTTATATACATTTATTAGACCTCTACTTGAAAAATATTCTCGCTTACCTCCGCACGAATATCTGTCACCTTAAGACTAGTACGACGTTCGGAATGTGGAGGATGTCTTGTCTGCCACAAAGATACTACAGTTACGATGGTGATTGTGATCACAAACACGAGGGTAATGCTGACAATGATATATACTACGGTGCTATCCACTTTTTTTCTGAGGTCTGAAAGTATGAGAAGTGTGTTCATCAATGATCAGTATTGAAATTAATATTGGAAACTCTGTTGTTTATTTTTACGAGAAAGAGGACCATGGAGATATCAGTTATTGTACTATAACGATTAAAAGATTACATATATCTTTGAAATTTTACGAAAGGTGGTTATGCTTAATATTGAATACAATGTTATAATGTTGCTGTTACTATTACTACTGTTTCGTTATTCTTCTTTTGGTCGCAGTTATTGTTGTTGTTGTTATACTGTATGTTGTTATTGTTATTAGTGTCCTTGTTCTCGTTTTTGTCACTGACATACTGTTGTTGTCGTTGTCGTTGCTGCTGCTGTTGTTGTTGCTGCTGCTGCTTTTGTTACCGTTGTTGTTGTTGCTGCTGTTGTCTTTGTTGCGGCTGTCGTTGTCGCTGTTGCTGCTGTCGTTGTTGCTGCTGTTGTTGTTGTTGTCGTTGTTGCTGTTGTTGTTGTCGTTGTTGCTGCTGCTGCTGTTGTCGTTACTATTGTTGTTGTTGTCGTTGTTGCTTCTGTCGCTGTCGTTGTTGTACTTATCGTTGTCATTGTTCTTGCTGTTGGTGTTGTTGTGGATGGTGTTTTTTTGACGCTGTTGTTTTTTACTGTTGTCGATGGCACCGTTGTTATTATCCCACTTACTATTACTAAAGACAGTAATTATTACTATTACTATTACTGGTATTCAAGACCGTGCCACTATTGAGTTGCCAAATAAAATCATTTAAACATCTCGTGAAACGTTTTCTGCATGCTTTCTCCTCAATTCTTCAGTGATTTTTGCTTCCCAGTACGGAACATCAATGCCCCAAAGCTACATGCAACTCTACTTTCATGAGAAAATCACGGAAAGTACAAATGATTCTCAAAACTACATAGTCACGATCAGCTATAGGAGGGACGAAGATCCTTCACTCAAAACGTCAAAGTCTCAAAGATCAACTTGTAGTTGTATCTCTCGCTATCCACAGTTATCATATCGTCTCTACTCTCTACCCGCACACTGGCACCGACCATTCATGGTTAACTATATAGCGGAGTATAGCCCAGGTACTAACCTTCCTCTGTTGGTGTTTTTGGCGCTTGTGTAACATTAACAGACTGTGGTACGGATAACTCAAACAGGATAAGCAGCAAGAAAGCTTGGAGAAGCCAGAGCAGGAAGGAACACCGTCGAAACATGCCTATAAAAATCCTAAACCTTTAAAAAATTGTTGATAGGGACCATTAAAGAAATACTATAATTGAAGTATTCCATCATACTAGGCTATAAACTAAATTAATGCATGCTCTTAAACGCTAAACCACATGAACAAGTTATTATGAACCAACTCAACTTGATTGCTCACGAAGTAGCCTACTGTATATAGTATATATAAGAACTACTTCAGCCTGACATAAAAATAATGATTCCTTCATGCGAGTTTTTACAGATTTCAGACTGCATTTGTCAGTGCCGCGAAAGCACAGGCAATTCAATGTGCGAGCATCGAATACGAGAAGCGAAATGATATATTCTCTGTTTTCCACGAAAATACTCTAATGAAGACGTGGCTATGTGTTCATAACGGCACGCTTCACTAAATTTGTTAAATGTTACAATTAACTGAACTATCATGGTGTATCAGAATATTACTTTAGTAGACTATTAAGTCAATTTTATAAAAGTGTGTATAAGATTAAAGGTTAATAAAGTTGCAAACTAGCTGAGTCAGTAGAATTTTGCAAGTTAATTATGTGCAAAAGATCTATTTTTGAAATAATGACAGTCAGAACGACGGAAGTGAACAAAAAATAGAACGTTTAAGTGGCCTAAGCAATACACTCTAAAACTAAACTATTCAGTAAACAATATAAAGCTTGCATGTAAACCATTTCATTTGACATTGCTTTGAAATTTATGGTGGCTTCGTTAATTAATTAAATTAAAAAACAACACTAAAACAATAAAAGCGAAACTTGCTATCGACTGTTACTACAAAATCAATGAATTTATATGAATATAATTTCAGGCGATTTAAATACCGATGTTAATAAACTTATATTTCAACTACAATTTCGTACGAAATGCCTGTTATACCGCATTACATTGGGACATAGTTTCATATATAGGCTATTTAGCTTATTTTCATCCAAGTATAAAACATAGACGTAAACTACTGTATAACACACAAGTCATAACAGAGCTATCGCGGTGTATCAATTGATATATTTATCAATTATATGTCAAAGACAGCTAAAGACAAATTCAAAATTCTAACATAAAATTCACCGTTATTTGCAGATTGGCAGTCGGCCAGATGCTCTTCTGTTAACCTGTTAATAATTCCTGACGATTCTATCTTCAATTGTGATTTGTAATGCCAATAAAATTGAACACAAAAACTTTAAAATCATACTAACCCATTCGTACTCAACAGCGGAAGCTTTCTTTGTAATTTTGTGAAGTCCAGCCTATTAAAATTATTTAAATTTTCTGATAACCAGTTAAGCGTTAAGTTGGAGAGGCAAAAAATTCCAATGGGTATAATCATGTCTGGTTTCAACCTTTTCCTTTGTTTAAGAATCAGAAAAACTTCTACCTAAAAATTAATCGTTCGAAAAATCTGCCCTAAATATTTCGTCGGTTAGGACTTCTTCAATGGGAATGTGAAGAGCTAAATCACGCTCTATATATTCACAAATCTATATTATCCTAGCTTTGCCTGGAGAAAAATCAGATCATTAAAATGCATGCTCGTTTGATCTGAGCTAAAACGGACATTACTTCTCCCATGAGCGTATAGAAAGGGGGTTGCAGCCAAACCAATATTTTTTGATCGGGCAGCTTGTAGTTAAAAATCGGGCAGATTGGAAAAAATTGTCTTGGTCGGGCAATTTCATGAAGATTCGGCAAATTTTGTAATTAACGTTATGGGTCTCACTGACATGCGCCCTCTGACGATTGGCAAGCTTTCGATTAGATGTGCATTAATATTTGGCTTTAACATTCAACATAATAATTATTATAATAAAGAGGTCATTTCAATTGTCCTGTGTTATCCTATCTTCACAATTCAGGAGAAATAGTATATAAAATGGCATGCAGTTTTTAGCGTATTTCTTTTCCAGTATAATTTTAACGGCCGTTTAAAATCTATTTAATTTTGTGTTTTTTCATAATGCATGCAAATTCCTGCCTTCAATTCGCTCATAATTCGTGAAATGTTTTGTATACCTTGAAAATTTTCAACCAACTCAATTGTAACAAAACTTCCCTGAATAAAATATGGCGGTCCGAAATCCAGTTCATGTTTAATTTTGAATTTCATCTTATCCAAAATTTAAATAGTATAATTAGACAATTATAAGAAAACATCCTTATGACTGCATGAATATAGAAATGGCTTTTTTAATTTACCGTCAGAAAAACATCCATTCTATGTTTTAAGAACAATATTAATTATTTAATGTTACACTTGTACTTGTACCTGTAGGTCCTGTACACCTGTACACACATGTACCTAGCCTGTACCTGTAACTCTGTAAGCCTATAGCTAACTGATGTGCGCAGTACATGTACAATAATTTTATATCCAGATACCGTAAATCTTCTATTAAACTTTCGGAAGATAATTTATCCCGGCACTGTTTGAGGGTGGGTTTATTGGAGCAGGAGCTTTTTGAAGAGAGGAAGCTAGGTTTGTCAAAACACAATAAACTAACATGAAATTTCATGCTAATCAATAAATCTGACTTTAAAATATTTTACATGAATCTGTTTCTTTGTTATGAGGCAAAGGCATCTAAAAAGGGTTGCTGAAAGGGATACGGCAATATATTTTTTATTATTTCATTTGTAAGAACTTTTAAAATTATATGTTAATCTCTTTTACCGATTTTGCGTAACTTTATTATTTCTTGAGATATTTGAACAGAAAAAATCACAAATCAGCGAGCTTTCTGCCATCTTGGATTTTGGCGGATATGCATGTGACATCATAAGCAGGGTCACGCAATAATTTTATCCATAAAGCAATTGGTTATTATGAGCCCAAAATCATATACTTCAGTAACTATTTGAAATAAAAAACTGTCTGACGACTTTTCAAACAAGACTTAATGTTATTTGGTCATTTAGATGTAGTTTTATATGGCTAACCCTGCTTATGACGTCACTAAAATCAGCGACAATGAAATAAAAATTAATCCAAGATGGCGGACAGCAAATTATTTTAAGTCAAAATATTTCAAGAAATAATAAAGTTACGCAAATTCGGTAAAGGAGATTAACATATAATTTTAAAAGTTCTTTAAAATGAAATAATAAAAAACTATATTTCCGTATTCCTTTAATATTGGACAAGGAGTTTGGACAAGGAGACAATCCTCTTTTAAGAGGATTTATGGTATACTTAAACTTCATATTGATTACTGGAACAAAATATTCATTAATTAATCAACAAACTAACCGCATTGACTTTAATGTTCATAAAACTACAAAACTATACTTTTTAGGCCTGTTCATTTCCTGTCCAATAACTTGCATCCTAGTTTACTTTTATTTTATACTGAGTTACGTCTGAAAAAAAATAGTTCTTGTCGAACTAAAGTGTGTGGAGCCTTAGCTGGCAGCGTTAAATCGAGAAAGAGTTAACTACAGTTAAGTAAGAGAGGATGTTTTAGGTTTCAAGCAAAGTCCTTCAACTCCTTTGAGGACATCCCAAAAAGCCTTTTGTGTGCTTTCTATTTTCAGTTTCTCAATCTCTTTTAGCTTTTTGTCCAACCACTTTTGAATGTAGTTCTGCTCAGTGCCATCATCCGGAATTGCCTCGAAGTCGGTGCGAACAGCTGGTAGTGCCGCGTAAAACGCGTAACAGAATGGGTTTATCTCTTTAACTTTTTTACCCATCATTTTGAAATGGAGCTGTGTATTTACAGACTCCGTACCTGCTTCTCCTCTTTTCCCAACTAACAAATTCAATTCAATTTCCATGATTTGAAAAAATCCTGCAGCGCTTGTCAGACCATCGATGAAATTGGCCAGTGCAGGAATTAGAGTTTCAGCCACAACGAGAGCAGCAGCTTCGTGGATCTTTGATTGTTGTGTCTGTGCAATAGCTTTCGCCGCATCTACATTTGCAGATAATCGCAATACAGGAGACGCGATCACATTTACGCCAGGGACGAACAGAAGACCGCATGCCCATGCCCATTTTTGTTTTGCCTTGCATTGAAATTCCTTTGTCAGTTTTTCATAATCTTTTTGTAGGTCCTTGAATTTGGTCATGATGATTCTTGCCTCGTCTTCACGTTTCTTTAAAGGTACCATCATTTCTTCGTACATTTTCAGTATCGTCTGAGCAAGTTCCCTATTGGCCTTAATATCTTCGAGAATACTCGGCAACATTTTGGACCATTCTTCATACGACAGAGCATCGTAATATGCAAAGAATTCTTTGACGGAGGACACAAACTTGGTGGTTAACGGAAGGATGATTTTTAAATATATTTTCGCATCTTCTCTTGTCTTATCTCGAAGTTCTCTGAACTTAAGGTCAACTTCGGTAGCTGTGCCAACATCTTTGTCGGTATAAAGAGATCGCATTGACAAAGAAAATAATTTTAAAGATGTGGGCATATCTTTCAAACTTTCTTCTAACTGTTCGACGGACCTAACCACGTTTTGGTTTCTCGTTTCGCTGTCTGCCATCTTCTCTGTCAACTGAAAATATATATTATAATATTATAGAAAACAGAATATAAATAAACCATATAATTAAAACACAGAGATAAGTCAATAATTTACATAACACTATACAACACAGTGTCGGCATTTTTACTCGTCATTTATCTTCTTATTCAGGTTAAAAATTTTAATTTCGCTGCTCAAATTCAACCCGTCCGTGTAGGTATTATTATTATTATTAAGCTTTATTTCGCATGACCTATTTACAGGTATTGCAGCATTTATCTAAAATTTATAAAACTACTGTATATGAGTGCTCAGAAATAATGACCTAAAGTATCTAAAATAATGGTCAGAAATGACCTAAATATTCTATAATAATGGTCAGAAATGACCTAAAGTATTTATAATAATGGTCAGAAA